TGAAATAGGTTTTAAATTACATGTAAATAACTGAATGCCCAATCGATGAAAAATTAAAATCTACTCATTCTGGAGGTAATATTTTCTTTCTTGCAAAGCAAAGGTAAGACCCTTTTATTGTCCCTGCATCGTCTTATTTGTTTGTTATAGACCCGCAACCGATTTTTGGATAACCCTCCATTTTCTTCACTAAGCGTAAGAATTTGTCTCCTAAGATACCCATGATAATGGTGACCTGAAATTTCATTCTAATTTTTCTTATGACCAATAATTGTTAGTATAACGTTTAGATCGTATTGCGTCATTTCCAAAGTAGGTCATTACTTCCAAATTTGCTTTACATTAAAAATACAAGGTGCTAAGCATTAACCTTTCCACTTAAAATTTTGAGGTAATATGGTCTACTATCTAGCAAAGAATTGCTATAAAGAGCATCTTATCATGGAAGAATAAAAACAGCAATGCTTTCGATGGCATGCAAAATGACTACATTTCGAAAAAAAATACCTGTGCAATTATATCCGTCCCCTTCATATCCTGGTTTACATGTGCAGTTATAGGATCCTTTGGTGTTGTTACAAACCGCATTAGAACTGCAATTGTGAGTTCCTCCTTCACACTCATTGATGTCTGAAATCATATAGAACAATGGAGATTAAGCTTAGTTTGCAGAGTGAATTCCTCTCAGCTTTCTAAAAAGTGAGACCAACACTGAGAAGAAAGTTGTAAAAGAAATGCATGGGGATTGAGAAAAAACAAAAAAGCAAAGTTTCTGATGCCGGCCTCGTTGAGACAAAACATTAAAAATACAAGGTACTAAGCATTAACCTTTCCACTTAAAATTTTGAGGTAATATGGTCTACTATCGAGCAAAAAATTGCTATAAACTGAGAGCATCTTATCATGGAAAAATAAAAACAGCAATGCTTTCGATGGCATTCAAAATGACTAAAGTACGAAAAATATCACCTTTGCAATTATTACCGTCCCCTTCATATCCTGGTTTACATGTGCAGTTATAGGATCCTTTGGTGTTGTTACAAACCGCATTAGAACTGCAATTGTGAGTTCCTCCTTCACACTCATTGATGTCTGAAATCATATTGACCAATAATTGCAAAAAAATAAGTTTGAACTGTGTGTTTTAGACTTTTCCCCCGTTTTTATCTACAGTGCATGAAATCAAGATGAGGTTACTAGAAGATAGTAACAGTATTAGTAGCAAGACGAAAAAAATGGTTTCGAATCCAAGGTTAAGACGTTCTCTGTCTTTTAAGACATTGACTTATTGTTTTTGTTTCATTTTGTTTTTCTTTGGCTTTTTTTTTTTTCACTTTCACGAATAAACTTGTTAAATTATTATGGTTGGATCCACAGTTCGATGTTTGACATTCATGTTTTTTGTATGTCAACTTATGGGCCCCGTTATGTTCGAAAATCTTATTTAGGTAAGTTTCCCTTAGGGGTTTAATTCTAATTTTACGAAGAGCATTTTTATATGGAACTCTCCCACCCCCCTCGAGAGCTCAATCAAGTGAGCTTCCTAGCAACGAGCCTAGAGGTATAATCAAGGCTCAGGCCATATCACGTTTTCTTGGTTTAGAGTTGAGATGCTCTTAAAGAAAGGCTTTCAATTACGAACTGCTTCTACTCAACAACAAGCTTTAATATTATTCAATTCGAATAACCAATAAACACATAAGATTACGAACACAAAGAGCAAAAATTTGAGGAAATAGCATTTGAAATTGTATGACAGTTAATAGACCAATTGAAACGAGGGGCTAGCAAAACCTTAAAATGTTCGCTACGCAAACGTTTTGTACACTGTCGTAGGAAATGACAAAGCCCGAGCTTGATTACGATTTACGAAAATATGATTATTTGCATAAAATGAAAGTTTTTTTCAAGAACAACTTACCATGTTCACATTGTGCACCAGTGAAACCAGAAGGGCATAAACACCGATATTTTTTCTCTGTGAATCCGGACTGACAGGTACCGTTGTTTTGGCAACGGGGAGTATCACAAGCACTCTTTGAAAGAACAAAAATCAGGTTTGAATTGTAAGAGAAGAAGTTACGTTAAACCGTCTTGATATAGCGTCAACTACAAACTACAAGATGATGATGATGATGATAAGACAATGGTAATTATTACGATCCTCATGCTAATAATTATTAATAGGGAGCTTAAGCAACGACTACGTCAAAGGCAAGGAAAACGCAAATAGGTTAAATAGGTTGAGATTAGCAAAAAAAAACTTTGCACCTAGATCACGTTTTTAGTACATTTCCCTGCCCTCGTTGCACGACTACCACGTGGAACTTCTTAGTTTCACCTTTTCTACCGGGACGTGATCACAAGACAACGATTCTTTATTTTATTGCTATTATTTATTTTTTAAACTTAGATACAGTCCTTTACAATGCGACTCCAGAAAAACTCACCAACATTTGGTGACCAATTGAACGACGTGCAATAAGAACGATAGATTTTGATACAGCGTGAATTCACTCTTTAAGAGACGTTTTATAGTGTCATCGTCGTTGCTTAAGCTCCTTCCGATGACGAAGATGGTGATCATTGTGATGATGATGAAGATGTCGACAGTGGGATGATGATTGCCTTGAAGATGATGATGATGAAAGAAAAAGAAGACGAGAAAAGAAAAGACAAAAAACTTACAATTGCTCCATGATATAAGCAGCCTTCCCTCTCTTTAAAGTCTGCATCGTGCGCTCGGTGTGTTGAATTGTTCAGTTCACATCGTCTTTCTCTTTGTATCTCATAATTAACACTGACACAGTTTGGTTTGTTGTAACAAAGCAGTTCACAAAGACCCTTATCCGGGACATGTTGGACAATTAAGAATGTGTGACTCTCCAAACATTTGTCAGCAATTAGGAAATAACTCGGAAACGCCAGTACGCGGCAATTACCTGAATTGAAAAAGAAAAAAATTGCATTTAGCAATTCCAGGAGCTCATAAGGTGGCCAATTCTTACCTTTTTTTGCGGCAAAAGACCTTCGATTAAAAGCAACTGTCCTTTATAAACAAGATTGAAGTTCATGGAACGTAATGACCCATATTTTCGGTTATACTCCTTAGCTTCAAGCTATGTTTTATCTGACAATTAATCATGAAACTACCATGTATGTTAATTAAACTTGCTGGGGTTTTCTTGGAATTTCTTCAAACTGGCTTAAAACGGCAATATACATCAAATAATGACAAAAAGGAGATGGAATTAACTTAGTTCTCTAGGTCAATTTCAATTTTCTGTCAATTGGTCGAGCTCTATAAAGAAAACCCCCTTTTTTAGGAAAATACATGCGATAATTCATTTTCAGTTAAAGCAAATTAAAAGGCTGAAAAAAGAAAAACAGGTAGATGGTATTCCCACCTGTCTTGAATAGTGGTAAACTGTCGTGTTTATTGTGAAAATATTTTCCTCGTATGACGCAAATAACAGAATTCTTTGTTTCCCAGCAACTTCCTTCTTGTTAACGAGTTTATAATCCAAGTAATAAACCGTGGTGACAATATCGAAACTCAATTTTATATTTCTTAAAAAATTTCTTCCAATTATCTCCTGTTATTTAACTTTTAAATAGGTTTCCATCTTGTTATTGAGTCCGCTGTCAACTTTATAATTGAACAAAATAGCAAAACTCTGGCACTGGATAGACGACACAGCTACAATAAATCGCATAAAATTGGGAAAACCTTCTCACGGTCTTCTCTGCCTTAAGGACAATAACAAATCCTTGGGAAGTTTCAATTTGTATGAAAAAAGCCAACATTGTAATCGTCTGGTGTTTGCTGAGGAAATGTTTTTCCGTTGACAAGCAAACAGAATTCTTGATTTCTTAGCATTTTTCTCTTTGTTAATTATGTGCAGCAGGATGTGTTTACCCTTATTTCCTCTTATTCAACATTTATTAGGTTGCCATGTTATTCAGTCAGTCTGTTAGCAGCTCCATGGATTGATTGTAATGAATGAATAAACACATTCTTACATTAAATAGAGTAAAACATAAAATAGATGGCATGATATCGAAAGAATTTCTGAATTCAAAAGACAATTTCTAGAATGGTAATTAACACTGACTCACGCCCAAAGAGGACAAAAATAAATAACCTTTAGCTTGGTATTTCGCTTGTTTTTCGTCCATGAGAACGGTTATATTTATTCTGAAAAAAGGCATTCAGTGAACGTCTTAAACATATTAAATTGACCAAGAAGGAAACAAGGACAGTTGAGTGGAATAAAATTCCCATTATTACGATGACCGTTGGGCTTTAAAAACCCATCAACGTGGTACAACCCATATTACACTAAGCCTTTCTAAAATAAATGTTACAAAGGATAATTTCACCAGTCCATCAATCTGCCGGATTTTACACATAACTGGGACGCTCAATTATGTTCTTGTAACAACGTTCAGTAAGATAAAATTGATGTAGATTTTCAACTTGATTGCGTCTGGCTTCCCTCAATTGCCATCCGCCCGAGATTATTGTTTTCTGCTGTTGTTCGCATAAACGAGTTAAAATTGTAAAGAAGGTAACGTCTGGGGATCCTCAAAGGTGGTCATATTCAACGAGGTTTTCGAATACAAGACATTTTCGAGCCAGAAAAAGATTCGTCAACGTAAAAGAGGGGTACAGGGTCGTATTAACGTAGAGTGTTTTAAAATATGGTATGGGTCCAAAGTAAAAATAAAGATAATTAAGAACAGATACTGAGGAATCTTGGGCTTCCGAAGAGAAGTGACAAGAAACGAAAAGAAATAAAAAGGGACTAGAAAAGCTCCTAGCACACTGACATTGTTAGCAGCCTTTTTTTTATTTATTCTTTTTTCTCGCTAATAATAGCCACAGTCTGTTTTCTTTTCTGTAACTAGATTCTTGTAGAGCAATCATTTTGCTGGCGAGCCGACAGACTAAATAAACAAAGAAAGCCTACAAATATGGGGTTACTCGCTAGTAGTTGTAAAAGAGGTTAACAGTGAAAAAATTAAGCCGGTCCCCAACCAAAATTTGTTATTAAGAGAGTTTCGAAAACGCTTGTTCAGAACTTTTTGCGTTTTCTCCCCTCGTTGCTAAAGACATGGTTCTTTATATTAGGGAAAGGTAAGGTCCTTGGAGTCCTATGAGCCTTAAACAATTTTGCAACCACGAAAAATAATTTTGCGGAACTTTTTGCAGGTGAAGTGACTATTTTTGCATATGTCTGTTAGTAAAGAAGAGAAATTAACCGTAAGCCGTACTAAAAGTCACATTTATAGGCAGTATACTAAAGCAGAAAATTTTGCAGCTACTCTTGTTTAAAGTAGGTCTAGCTAATAATTTTTTTTTATCTTCTTTCAAGAGATAAATGTGTTTTTGTCACTATTTTGACGTGCCAAATATGATTGAAACAACAAGGCGGAAAGAGAAGAACTTACCATCCAAACAGCCGAAGCAAATTCTTAAAGAATGCATGTACAGCATAAAGAAAATACTGTAGTGAAGAACAACACCCATGATCGCTGCCTTGTTCGCAAAACGCAACTCTCCTGAAAAGTCGAGTGCATTAAGTGCGGTTAAGCCACAACGGGGTTGTAACATATATTATACATGTAAACAGTTCCATACCACCTGTCGCATTTTAACATTAACGTCAAAACTTAAATTATTCTTTTTGTTGATGACACAGTTTAACAATCGTTGGAAACATTTTACTGATATTTCACGGTTAATACATACATATGCACAAACAGAGACAATTCCAGATCTATTGAAGATGTAGCTTTTCTAGTGTTAACTGTGCTCTCGTTAATACTGTCTTTAGATTCCTACAACGTTTTTGGTAAACAAAATTTGGCATAAATTAAAGTTGAAAGGTTTTAATGATCTTTAATTTCTCTGTTTCAAAATATCAGGGCCTAGCCGGATGGGCCATTGTCACCAGGCTATCTCAGACTCGCTATGAAACTTTTTTGATATGAAAAATTGGGTAAATTGAAAAAAAAAAAGCATCTATTATTCAAAGATAAGTTAGCAAATTTTAATTATTTTTTTCCACGCAAATGTTTTTAGAACAGAGTAGTTAAACCTTTCACAACTGAACTTAGTAAACCTCAATTAAATCTTAAATTGAGGTGGAAAACAAAACATTGCTATAGATAATGTTTTAATAAATAATGAAAAGATAAGCAGGTGTTGACAGGACGATTCCACACTCTATTTCTAATGCACTAGAACATGATTAGCTCCGTGGATGTCTACTCAATGGTACCAACCATCTATTGCCACAGGCATACCAAGCTTTTAGCTCGGTGCGTTTTACGTGGTCCTGTGGCTATACATTCGAGTCCCGCTTTGCGGACATCAGCTTAATACGAACGTTTCGTTATTACGGACAGCTTTCTTTGTTCCTGGACAAAGCCCTTACATTTTAACCCGCTTGATAAGGATACTTAAATCCTTTTTTGTAAGCGTCAGTATGAAAATCGCCGAAACCTTCCCTAACGTATGACTATCTACTGCAGCCTCAATAATTAATTTTAGTTCTGATATTCTGGTCTTGGCTCAGAACCCCTGAGTTTTCATTCTATGTATACGTAATTAGTGACATCCTGTGTAACCTCGGTCCGTCTGTGGCGCTGGGTAATTAGTGAAGACCTGATGCTATCAAGCGTTTTTAACAAAGCCACTGGACTGTATAAAAATAGTGCACACCTGCTCAAGGACTCTGCCCATGCACGCCGTCGTTACCACCTATATATCGCCATAATAGGGTCCTTTTCCCTCTACTTAGAAAAATTCGAGAGTTGTACCCTTCATTCTAAGTTGTACCCTTAAATAAGAAAGGTAATAAACAGGAATCTTGGGTCAGTTTCCATTTTGCAACATCATAGAAAGGGCTATCAACACCCAAATCTATGGAAAGAACGAGAAAACATTAAAACGGTTCAGTTTCAAACGTGAATGACAATATCCAGCCTAACCAAGCTACAGTATCTGTAGAAGTTGCCCATGGTACAACCTGCTATTGTTTATATTCTATGTGAATGATTTGCAAATGTCCTGGAGTTTGCTTTATTGTTACGTGTATGCTGATGACTCTGTTTTATATTGATATATCGCCTTGAAACATATAATATTTCAAAAACTGAATCTAAAACGATTTGAAGTCGGACCTGGCAAGTTGTGTTAAAATGAAGAATTCGCAGCAGGCAGTAATGCGAGGCTTAATAGAAATGACTTCACTACTATTTCATTCTTCAAGCACTCTTTCCTTTTTTGGGCATGGTGCTATGAGACAACTTATTCCTAGGCTACCAGTTCTACACAGTAAGGCTGCGCGAATTTCTAAATCAGATCCCGCGTTTCTGAAAGTGACACTTTTTAGTGAAGACTCAACTGGAAGTCTTTACATCGCGCTTAGTTGCTTGCGTCGGTTTATAACCTTTTTATGCAGTCGTGTCACCGTTCTAAATAAGTGTCAATTCTCATAACTGTACTAGATGGAAGCATGATAGCCGACAATCTTTTGCTTTCAGAAAATGGGAACAGTGGATAACTTTAAACATTGTTGCAGATTTATGGGATCGTTTAGAGTTACTTTAAGAGCAACACCCACCATAGTTGTATTTACGCGACTCTTTTCCAAAGCCAAATATAAACTGAAGTAGATACAGTCGAACCCTGTTACTACAGAAAGTGTCCTTAGAAAAAATTTTTAACGTGTCATGTTATTTAAGTAAACAAACAAACTTCTCTTGGTGAACAACTGAAATACTAAAGAAATACTTAAAAAAAACCACACATATTTCTAACGGGCCACCGAGGCCATATAGTCTAGTAAACACGACCACTACATAGCTCATCACCGCTACACTACAAAACACACTGGCCCCGTCAAGTCACATGACTCCAGACTTCCCGCGCTAGGAAAGTTAAGTTCCGGATGTACACTATACAATTGCTATTTCTAGTTTCAACGCAGACTACGTCCTTCTGGTTTGCGCTCAGTACTTAATCAAAAACAGTTCTCTGTGTATTAAACTCATTTATTACTTTAAAAAGTCAGCAAATGACGTCTCCACTTCATCTTATCCCGTCTACCGTAGCATTATAAACATTGAAATGCTGACATCCGAGGATAACTTCGTCAGAGGCAAGGATTAATACAGCGCACAGCTGGTTGATAACAAAGTGTTATATAATATATTATCGAGGATAGCTTCCTCCGGTCTGTGAATCTATTGATTGGAGTCAGGAGCTTATGGCTGTTGGAGTAGAAAAAAGTAAACGTTGTCCGCATTAACGGGTGTCCGTATACTATTATGGGTGTTAAAATGGAACGGCTTTGTCCAGGGACAAAGAAAGCTGTCCCGTAAAAACGAAGCATTCGTATTATGCGGATCAAATGTCCCTTTTTTTAAGGAAAACATACGATAATTCGTTTTAAAATTTGTAAAAGCCAAATGAAAAGGCTGAAAACAGGAAAACAGGAAGATGCTATTCCCATCTGTCTTAAATAGTGGTAAACTGTCGTGTTTATTGTGAAAATATTTTTCCCTAGTCACACAAATAACAGAATTCTTTGTTTCTTAGCAACTTCCTACTTGTTAACGAGTTTATAATCTAAGGGTTAAACCGCAGTGACAACATCGAAACTCAATTTTATATTTCTTAAAAATTTTCCCACATTTGTCTCCTGTTATTTAACTTTTAAATAGGTTTCCATGTTGTTCATTGAGTCCGCTGGCAACTTTATAATTGAACAATATAGCAACATTCCGGTATTGGAATAGAAGACACAGCTAAAATAAATCCGGCGCATAAAATGGGGAAAACCATTTCAGGTTCTGCTCTGCCTTAAGGACAATAACAAATCCATGGAAAGTTTCAATTTTTATGAAAAGAGCCAACAGTGTGATCGTCCGGTGTTTGCTCAGGAAATGTTTTCCCGTTGACATGCCAACAGAATTCTTTTGTTGTTGCTGTTGTTGTTGTGTTTTTTTTTTTTTTTTAATTGAATCTTTATAAAGATTCAAACAGAATTCTTGGTTTTTTAGCAATTTTCTCCTTGTTAATTATGTGCAGCAGGATGTGTTTACCCTTATTTCCTCTTATTCAGCATTTATTAAGGGTTGCCATGTCATTAAGTCAGTCTGTTAGCAGCTGCATGATTGAATGAATAAGCAAATTCTTGCTTTAAATAGAATAAAACATGGCTTGAAATAGATGGCTTCTATAGAAAGAATTTCAGAATTTAAAGCACAACTTCTATGATGGCAATTGCAATTAACACTGACTTACGCCCAAAGAGGCATTCAGTGAACGTCTTAAACATATTAAATTGACCACAAAGGGAACAAGGACAGTTGAGTAGAATAAAATTCCCGTTAATACGATGACCGTTAGGCTTTAAAACCATGATCCGAGAACGTGGTAAAACCCATATTATTTTAAGCCTTTCTAAACTATATGTTACAAAGTAGAATTTCACCAGTCTAATTTAATCTGCCGTGCCGGATTTTACACATATGACTCGGACGCTCAATTATGTTCTTGTAACATCTTTCAGTAAGATAAAATTGATGCGGATTGTCAAATTGATTGCGTCATACTTCCCTGTTGTTCGTATTAACGAGGTACAAATGTGAAGAAGGTAACGCCTGGGGATACTCATAAAGGCGGTTATATTGAACGAGGTTTTCGAATAAGGAAATGACAGGACATTTTCTAGCCAGAAAAAGATTCGTCAAGTGGGGAACAGGGTCGTATTAACGCATAGTGTTAATATGGTAGGGGTCCAAAGTAAAAATAAAGATAATTAAGAACAGATACTAAGGAATCTTGAGCTGCAGAGGGGAAGTGAAAAGTTCAACTGACAAGAACTTTAACCGCGGCAGGATTAGCTCAGTCAGTAGTCAAGAGCGCTTGACTGCAGAGTGGGAGGTCGCGGGTTCGGTTCCCGGGGCCGAACCAATACTCAGGGTCTTAAAAATAACTGGGAAATGAAGGTACTCCCTTTGCACTGCAAGCGGCGAGACGTTTCCGTGGCTCGGATGACCACGTAAAATGGCGGTCCCGTCTCCATTAGGAGACGTAAAAATATACTGTCCCCAATTAGCACTTTCGTGCTAAATACATTGACACTCAAATAAGAAGTGCCTTTTTTAGAAACGAAAAGAAATAAAAAGGGACTAAACGATCCTCGCACGCTGACATTGTTAGCAGCCTTTTTTATTGTTTTTATTTTCTCGCTAATAATAGCCAGATTCTGTTTTCTTTTCTACAGCTAGATTCTTGTAGAGCAATCATTTTGCCGTTGACCAGACGTAACAGGCTAAATAAACAAACAGAGCCCACAAAGATGTGGTTAATCGCTAGTAAATGTAAAAGAGGTTAACAGTGAAAAAAGCCGGTCTCCAACTAAAATTTATCATTCAGAGAGTTTCGAAACGCTTGTTTAGAACTTTTTGCGTCTTCTTTCCTCGTTGCTAATAAATTTGGTTTTTTATATGTGGGAAAGGTACAGTCCTTGGAGTTCTACGAGCCTTAAACAATTTTGCAACCACGGAATTTAATTTTGCGGAACTTTTTGCATGTGAAGTGACTTTTTTGCATATGTCTGTTAACAGTAAAGAAGAGATATTAAACTTAAGCCGTAGAAAAGTCATATTTATGGGCAATACATTAGAGCAGAATATTTTGCAGCTACTCTTGTTTCCAATTTTTAAAGTCAGTCTATTAGTAGCCAATTATATCTTTTTTCAAGAGATAAATGTATTTCTCACTATTTTGTCATCCAATTTTTGAAAATAGCGAGAAATATGATAGAAACAACAAGACGGGAAGAGAAGAACTTACCATCCAAACAGCCGAGGCAAATTCTTAAAGAATGCATGTACAGCATAAAGAAAATACTGTAGTGAAGAACAACACCCATGATCGCTGCCTTGTTCGCGGAACGCAACTCTCCTGAAAAGTCGAGTGCATTAAGTGCGGTTAAGCTACAACGGGGATGTAACTTATACTATACCGGTAAACAGTTTCATACCACCTGTCGCATTTTAACATTAACGTCAAAACTTAAATTATTCTTTTTGTTGATGACATAATTTAACAATCGTTGGAAACATTTTACTGATATTTCACAGTTAACACATGCATATGCACAAACAAAGACAATTCCAGATCTATTGAAGATGTACCTCTTCTAGCGTTAACTGTGCTCTCATTAACACCGTCTTTAGATTCTTACACCGTTCGTGGTAAACAAAATTTGGCATAAATTAATGTTGAAAGGCTTTAATGATCTATTAATAACAACTCTGTTTCAAAATATTAGGGACTAGCCGGATGGGCCATTGTCGCCGGGTAAATTGGGTAAATTTTTAAAAAATAGGATTTATTATTCAAAGATAAGTTAGCAAATTTTAATTATTTTCTTCTATGCCACTGTTTTTACAACAGCGTAGTTAACCCTTTCACAACCGAACTTAATAAACCGCAAATAATATCTCTTAAATTGAGGTTAAAAAAAAACCATTGTTGTAGACAATGCTCTAATAAATAATGGAATGATAAGCAGGTGCTGACTGGATGATTCCTCAGCCTATTCTAATGGACTAGAACATGATTAGCTGAGTGGTTGTCTACTCAATGGGACCAACCACGCATGGCCACAGGCAGACCAAGCTTTTAGCTCGGTACGTTTTACAGGGTCCTGTGGCTATAAATTCGAGCCCCGTTTTGCGGACATCCGCTTCCTTATTACGGACAGCTTTCTTTGACCCTGGACAAAGCCCTTACATTTTAACCCGCTTAATAAGGACACTTAAATCTCTTTTTGTAAGCGTCAGTATAAAAATCGCCGAAACCCTCCCTAACGTATCACTGTCTACTGGCAGCCTCAATAATTAATTTTAGCTCTGATATTCTGGTCAGGCTCAGGACTCCTGAGTTTCCATTCTATGTATACGTTCGGTTCGTCTATGGCGCTGTCTAATTAGTGAAGATCTGATGCTACCAAGCGTTTAGAACTTAAAAAAGCTACTGGACTGTATACAAATAGTGCACATAACTGTTGTGACGATAAAATGTGTCCAGATAGGGAGACTAGCGTACCCGGATTCTCAATGCACTGGGGGTGGGTTGGTTTCCAGTAGGCGCAGGTTGGTATTCCTGTAGTTCTTCCTCAGGATCCGACTCATCACAATCGAGAATGCCCACGATCTGCCTAGCTTTTGCGATGAACTATCGATCAGTGTCAGGTAGATACGTGCACTCGCTTTGGTAGTGGGGGTAGTTTCCGCGTCTGGCCTTTTTGCAGAGGGGACAGGAAATTAGGGCGTGTTCGGAAGCGAGTGGTGGGCTTGGCAGCTTGTGGGAAAAAATCACGAAAATAAAGACCCGCGAAAATAAGTCGTGAAATTATTTTAATGCTCATGTAGAAAATTCAAATCACAGAAAAAAAAATTCTTAACTTGTAATAGCAACAACATATACATGGTGATGTATCGAAAATATAACGTGTTAACTGGTTTTACTTGTAAGCTCCGTTTTGTACCTTTAGTTAGTGAAATAACACCAGTCAAGCTTTCACATTGATTTTCCAGGTTATCTAGAAATTCGGAAACTTTCAGACTCTTTTAAAAATAAAATTAAGTTGAGAACGCTTAAATCGCGAAATTTAATGCCCTTTTTTTCATATTTGCGTGTAAAAATCGCGAAAATAAAACCCCGCGAAATTCTCTCTCGCCAAAATGCGCGAAATTAAGTACTAATAAGGTACCAAAAGAGCTTCATAGTTGGTTAATTACCCGCTTATACCCCGCCTATACCCTGCCTATACCAAACTACCTTGAAATCTTGGTAACAGCCCTGTGCATGTCAGTTGAAATAGGCAATTTCCAAGTTACCCCAATCAACAAATCTTTTAGTGTAAAAGAGTTGGTGAGGAAGGCAAAGTCCAACAACATGATAGTTTGAAAAACAGCAGACCTTAGAGTTATGTCAGAGGGGGGTAGTTATTTGAAAAAGGGGCACATAGTACATTCTTCACATTACTAGTAAACAGGGAAAGTTAAGTGTGTGCTGCAGATACATTTCTTTATCAGTTGCAGGCTTCAACATACTGATAGTATTACCCTGCTCCAGGCTATAAGATAGTCATGTGCAGTTACTGGTTCGATAATGATGCACAAATCACACGTCAGTTTTTCATAACCTTCCTATGCATCTGAGAGCCTGGCAAGGCTATGTTTCCCTGCGAATAGAGGTTTCTCTCTTGCATGGCTTTTAGCATTTACTTAGTCATTCGCCATCTACCCAACAGACAAGCCACGTGAATGACTTCATAAACAGTAGAAGCCATGCAAGAGAGAAACCTCTGCTGGCAGGGTAAGGCTATGTTTTCAGATGTGTCTGACCTCAAATTGTACATGTTTAATACTGCTCATGTATTGTATATGGTATGATATTCAGCTTGGAGGGGTGTTAAGTTGGGGGGAAGCTTATTAATTTTTTTATTACTTTTGGCTTAAAGGGCTACTAAAGCTAGCATTTCTGTTATTTTAGTTTCAAGAATCCGTCCTATATTGTCTTGCAGGTAAAGTTAGTGGACGTGATAAAATGATGGCCGAAATCTATGCCAGGGGTCCTATTGCAAGTGGCATAATGGCCACTTCGAAACTCGAGGCATACGAAGCAGGTATCTACACTGAATATAACCCTTCCCCTATGATCAACCACATTGCATCTGTTGCTAGCTGTGGTGTGGAGAATGGAACAGAGTACTGGATTGTGCGCAACTCCTGGCGTGTCCCGTGGGGGGGAGAAGGTTGGCTGAGGATCGTAACCAGTAGATACAAAGATGGAAAGGGAGACGATTACAACCTGGCAATTGAACAGGATTGCGCATTTGCTGTGCCTACAGTGGAAGAAGACTAAAATAACGAATGATGATAACGAATTTTCCAAGCTTTTTTTTTTTCTAACAAAAACGATCGATCATTTTTGCAGAATATTTAGAGGCATATTTTAGAAAAAAAAAAAAAAAATTAAGCAGCATTTTTTAGTTATACTTTGGTATCTCACTGTTCAAATCTCATAAGCATGTAAATTGTAGAGTTTCCTTAATAAAATATTAAGCTCAAAGTGTATAAATGACCTGTTTGTTTAAGTGCTTGTACTTTTTTCAAAGAAGTAAATGACTTATGGCCGGGTTTGTTTCCAAAGAATGTTCGTTACGGTGTCATTGGCAGCAGGATTTAGGGGGCATGATTGAACGCTATGTGACAACCTGCGAGCAAAGCTTTTCTGTCGCACTCGAATCAAACACTTTTCCGTTATTTATCAAGGACCTAAATTTTATAACATCTTAAACACCAACATCGTCAACTCTTCCCCACCCCCCCCCACCCCCTTCTCCCCCTGGCCCTTTCTTCTTTTAAAAAAAGCACTTAAGGCATCTATTTTTAACAAAAGCTATAAAGTTTCCTTAGGCCTCCTCGCCATTGCTTTCTACGCACATTGCCTTCTATCCTGATCCGCACGAATGTGCAGAGTTCCCAAACTTCAAGACCTTGACACAAGACCAAGTTTCTTTGATTATTGGAAAGGCAGCCAATAAATCTTGTCCTTTAGATCCTGCACCTGCATCTGTGGTTCTACAGGTTCTTGATGTGCTGTTACCGATAATCACCTGTATGATCAACATGTCGTATGAATCTGGTCAGTTCGCAGAGGAATGGAGGTAGGCACTCGTATTACCCACGTTAAAGAAGTCTGGCTTTCACATTACGTATACAAAAACTTTCGCCCAGTAAGCAATCTCCCGTATGTCTCTAAGTTATCTGAAAGAGCAGCTGCTGATCAATTGATTGATCAGCTACAGTCGTCCCACAGTCGGCTTACATGCAAGAAACACGATAGTACTGAATCAGCGCTTTTAAAAGTGAAGAACGATATCTTATTGAATATGGATGCGCAGAAGGTGATCTTGCTGGTTCTTTTAGATCTCAGCGCAGCTTTCGATACTGTACGCCACGACATCTTACTGGATCGGTCAAGACTTGGTGTGACTGACCAGGCACTCAATTGGTTTACATCGTACCTCTCCGACCGTACAAAGCGTGTTTCAGTTAATGAAGGGCTGTCAGATACTTTTCCGCTCGCGTAAGGGGTGCCGCAAGGGTCATCCCTTGGCCCGCTTCTGTTAACGGTATATACCAGCGAACTATTCGATATAGTGGGTCGACTCTTGCCAAGCGTGCACTCTTACGCCAACATTAATGACACGCAACTGTACTTGGCGTTCAGTCCAGACGTGCAGGGTGATGACGCTAGTGCGGTAAAGGCTATATGTGATTGCATCGTGGATTTAAGAAAGTGGATGATTAGAGATCGACTTATGTTACATGATGATAAGACTGAGTTTTTGCTCCTTGATACCAAGCAACAGCTAGATAAGGTTGACATTAATCGTATTACTGTTGGTGAGTCTGTTGTGAACCCAAAGCCGGTTGTCAGAAATTTAGGTTCCTGGTTTGATTCTCAGCTTAGTATGTCTACTTATATTAGCAAGCTCTGTAACTCAGCTTTTTTTCATCTATATAACATCAGTCGTATTCGCAAGTTCCTAAGCCCCTTGGAAACTAAGTCCTTGGTACATGCATTCTTTACTTCTCGCGTTGACTACTGCAATAGCCTTTTGTATGGTCTACCTGCCTCGCAACTTAACAAGGTTCAGCGTGTTTAAAACACTGCAGCAAGGCTTGTTTGCTGCACTCCGCGCTTCAGCCATATTACACCATTGATGTATGAGCTACATTGGCTTCCGTTAAGGCAGCGCATTCATTTTAAGATTTTGTTATTTGCATTTGAGGATGTCCATGGTACAGCCCCTACATACACTAAACATCACGTACCTCTGGCATAAAGGCCTCCTGCCAAAGCTGTTCTCAAACTATTTTCAATATGCCAGTAATGTCCACAAATACAATACCAGATATGCATCGAAACAGAATCTTTACGTAAAAAAAGTGCGAACTAATACGGGGAAACAAACAATCGGATATGCTGCATGTACCATCTGGGACAAAATTCCCATAACTCTTAAAGAACTAAACACATACCAATTCCAAAAACAATTGAAACCTTATTTGCTGTCAGAACAACATAGTTAACATAACTTAAGCATATACACTTTCTTTCTTAATACATTGTATTTTCAAACTGCTTCTTTAGAAATAAATTCTATCTCAATTCTCTAAAACTTTAAATTCTGGAGAACTGGCTAGAAAATCTTAGGATTATTTCAGCTCCAGGCCTTATTAAGTACAAATAAATATATATTTTTTCTCTTTCACGTGAGTATGTAATTAATTAAGTACAAGGTGAATAAAGGTATTGTTGTTGTGTTGTTGTTGTTATATTCAGAACTTAGTTTCTTTGAAATCGCAAGGCACATATAACCTCAGATCGTCAAGTGGGATTTTGCTAGGATCGTCAACATTTAGAACTAAGGTCACACTAGGCGATAGGTCGCTGCGCCCAAGTCATGGAATGCTCTTCCGCGTGAGCTTCGCGATATTCCAAACTTGCATACTTTTAGGAGCAATCTTAAGACGTATCTTTTTAAGTTTGCTTATGGTTGAATGAATTTTAATTGTTACATATCGATATTTTAGATTTTTATGGCGGAAGTGTATATATTTTTATTGTTTTGCTTATTGTAAATAGGTTTGTAGTTTGTAGTGCGCATTTGATCATTTTTATGAATACCTGCGCAATAGAAGTGATTAAATTATTATTATTATTTTTTGTAATTGTATTTAATATTTGCTTCTTACACACATAACATAAACATAGATTCTTAAATACAGAAGAAATACTCTTAATAAAAAAAGAAACAAAATTAATTAACAAATTGATAGTAAGGTTGCTCCGTTAAATTTTCCCCGTTCCCTTAATAATTGAAATTTATTTTTCAATATAAAGTTCTTTTTAACATGATAAATATACTCTACAATAGATGGTTTTGAACTTTTGTATTTGCAACTAAAGATAGAGTGATTTTACTTGAACCGCGAAACAGATACTAACAAATAGTGCCAAATAGCAAGAGGTGAATAAAAGAGGACAATGATATTATAGTGCATAATAGTGCGTAGTATTCTACTACCTATTTCACGGGTCAAGTAAAATCATTGTAAAACCTAGCCAAGAGTAGAAAATGACTAACTAAAATATCTTCTCCTTCTTTCCCTGTAAGACCTAAACATTTACTTGTTTTTCTAAAGCGCCAGAGGCTTCCATCAAATCAACTGACACTAAGAAATCGCTGCCATTAACCCAAAAACCTCTTGTCGCGGGACAATCCCAAAAGAATCTTGGGTTCCTTGGCAAAAGCAACAGAGATCGGTATCTACAGCTTGAATCTTAAATAAAAATACATTGGTCGTAATTCTTCTGTGAAGGAATTTAAGAAACTTTCAAAGTTTCGTGCTTAAAGTATATTTCACACTAGATAATAGATAAATGGAATCCCAGTCGAAATTCTCCTCATCTTTGAATTCAAAATCTCTTTTCCATTTTTTTGGCTTTTCATAGGAAGAGTACGTTTCTTATTAACGAACGTCTTATAAGCTAGTTGGCTTGGGTTATTGTAAGAGACTAGCTTTGCGAGCAACTTTTCAGAATTTTTATCGTCTGGTGGGGTGAGTTTAAGAGCTCATTAAATGGCCGAAGCCTGACTCCATAATATTCTAAAAAGGAAACATTAGGGCAGAATTCTTTCCTAAAACAGCTGTATTCCAGAAATTTGGAATCACATGTCAAAACATCATCAGTATTGTGTACTCCTGCATCAAACCATTTCTTATTAAAGATAGTCTTGCCTGCGATTCTAATCTTAGAGAGTTGTACCATATTCCTTCTGCGCTAAACTCTGCTAAGGATGCAAAGGAGTCTCTGTAATTTAGATCAGTCAACAGCTCAATAAGTTCCTGCAGAAAATTTTCTTTTACAGCAAGGCTCTTTGCATCTTTTCGAGACAAATTGCCAGTAAAACCCAGCTTTCCCGCAAATTTAGACAGATGCAAGTCTAAAAAGCATTTCCACTTAAAGTGGCAATTGTCAAAAATATTAAATGTACTTAATGAGTATCCATGTTAAATTCTATAATGCTTAACATCTTCAAACCTCAATCTCGATAGTCCTATTTCAATTCGTTTAATTTTGTCTCCCTCGTTATCCCGAAAAAAATTAAAAAGGAGGACATTTGTTTGTGTTATGAATTTTGGACACGAAGCTATTGACTACATGACATAGACCATTTGAGATGCGGCTCAGTAAAGCCTTGACAACTGCAATGAGTTTACCAATTAAAGTTAGACTTTTATGGTGTCAATTGTTCAAAACGTTCTCCACATTTCTGATTCTCTCCTCGTAATTTATTCTGAGACCTTCTTGTTGATCCACACAAAACCAAACCCCCGGAGCTTTATCTTAACCATTTGCCCATGCTAGCTTTTTTTCGGGGCAGAAGATTTGATCAAAACCCCTTAAAGAACCAATCCAAAGAACTTTTTGGCAATTAACTTTTAACCCCGAAACCTCCCCAAACCTTTCTAGCATGTAAAGGGAGTCCTAAAGCGATGCCTGCAAAAACCGAGAATAAAAGTGGTGTCATCTGCAAACTGGCTTAACTTACATACAGTACTTCCAACTGATATTCCCTTAATCTGAAAATCTTTGCGAACAGCAGTAGTCAAAATTTCGGTATACATTTAATGTATATGGAGAAAGAGGGCAACCCTGTCTAACACCTCGCCCAAATTCAAAGAAAGAACCTGACCATCCGTTATTTATAACACAGCTCTGGATATCGCAGTAGAAAATATTAAAAATCCAATTGACGAAAGAAGGGCTGAAGCCAAAGGAGAGTAATGTTTGCGGAACCAAAGACCTTTAGATGGTATCGAACGCTTTTTCAAAATCGACAAAAAGAAACATTCCGGGAATGTAAAATCGGTATATGCGATAACATTGTAAATGAAGCAGGTATTTTCTGTGACGGACCAGCCTTTCAAAAACCGCCCGGTGATTGTCGATTAAGGCTGGAAGCACAGTTTTGAGCCCGGATGCAGCTGCTTTTGATGCAATTTTGTAATCAGAATTTAATAGAGGTAAGGGTCTCCAATTTTTCAATTCGTCAAGCGCTTTGTTTCTTGGGGATCAAAGAGATAATGCCTCTTCTTTGAGTTAAGCTAACTTCTCCTTTTGGTAGCTTCTGTTTTAGAGAGCTTACAAGGTAGCGGGAGATGTCGTTAAAATTCAGCAGGAAGGCCGTCCGTTCCTGGTGATTTGCCGGATGCCATTTGTTTCACCGCTGTAAAGAAGTCCTTCACATTTTAGTTTATCATCATCACTAAGTCTCGGAAGATTCTCATCGGAAAATAGGTTTCCTATTCCGCCTCTAAATTCATGCTAGTAGAAGTTTTAGAGGCGTAAATAGAACCGAAGAAGGAATTGCATTCCTCTAAGATGTCTGAATCATTATTGCCCCAGCAGGGATTTCGCCCAGAAGGCGAAATCCCGAGGAGGCACTCTAGTAACTCGCGCGTATATTAAGTAAAGTACTTACAGTTAAAATATACAGTCATACAGTCTAGAAAAAATCTCGATTTGCTTGAACAGGGGCCGCGAAGTATCGGTAGGTAATGATGACGTTTCTATTGTTTGCGCCCGCGAGTATGAAATGGTTAGGATGACGTAAAGACAGAACATCCCCAAGGGACCGCTCAGGTAGATTTTGTGACATTTATTGTGCAGTCATACTTCGACACTCTTTCGCGTTACGTGTTATCAGTGACATTCCGTGGCGCAGTTGTTTCAGTGAAAGTTATGGACCAAAATTTTAACGATACTCGTTAAGCGCAGAAGAAGTTATAAGGTGCGTATAACTGTGTATATATAAACACTTGGAGAGTTTGCCTGACACGAGTTCACAAATCTTTCATTGGAAACCTTGCCAGACACTCTTTCTCTCTCTTTGACCGGAATAAGACTCAGCCCAAAAACAAGAAAGACCAGTGAACAACGGCTAGCTTCTCACTAGCAGAACGATGGACGATTACAGAAATTCGCCGACAATCAAATTCTATGCTGACTTATTCCCTGCTCACAGATGTCCTTCCGCTATTAAGTTTAAAATAAGACTAGAATGCGCGAGTGTGAATTGATCAAACGCCCTTTTAATTTCTAAGGCTTCCTTTCCGGCAAATAAAATGAACTGAATGTAAAAAGTGAAAGGGAAATAGCGAAAAATTCAACTTCTAATTGAATCTTTTCTTATGGTTTAGAATAAACTATTCTCGAAACTGAGAATGTTATGATCAAAGCTTTGTAAATCGATCTGAAACTGTGCATGGAACCTTGCGTTTCCTGTATTTATCTCACCTATTGTATGGAACATGTGTGAAAATCTTCCTTATGAATTGGTATATTTCAAAGAGCTACACAACGAGCAAGTATGCTGTTGACCGACAATATATATACAGACCGGGGGCAGCTGTAGTGTCAACGATTACTAGTGTAAGTATGAACAGGAGCCCATCAAATGGCATAATGGTTATTCTTTAACAATGCCTATTCTCTAGATTCAAGAAGTATTTACTGTTCTTCTCACTTTCGTTATACCATCTGGCCTTTAGATCTAATCATCGCACCTTTTCAGGGGCGTAGGTAGGTGGGGTCCCGGGGTGCCCGAGAACCCCCCAATCCCCCCCCCCCCCCCCCCCAAAAAATGCTTTTTTTTAGATTCAAAAAATGTTTTTTGTTTTCTCCTCTTTCGTTTTTCCCTCCGGCCTGTCTATCTATATAATCCACCCTTTCAGGGGGGGGGGGGGGGGGGGGCCCGGGGGGCCCGAGAACCCCCCCCACCCCCCCCCCCCCCCTTTGTGAGTATAATTCAGTTGGCGAAAACGCAGGAATCCGGCGAATCGACATGCAGTAACTTTTTTCCACTGCTAGATAGATACATACTCCATTATGAACGAACATTTGCAGTGCACCATGTTCCTGTTCGTAACCAACGGCCTTGTGAATACGAGGCCGTTGATGGAAAGTCACATAAGGCGAGGGGAAATTCGTGACCATAGGATAGTAAGTTGGCACTCTCCGGATGGTGTTGCTGCTTGTGCAATAACATACGGTGTTTTCTTTGAGAATGTCCAAACAAGCAAAGCTTCCCAACTATTTTCAGCGCTGCGAAGACAGGTAAGGAATGTTCTTTATTTGATTTAGAATCGAGCCTTTCTTCCCTGACAATCGGCGTCTAAGTCTTTTTTCAGCAGATTAGTAAGCTTTTCAGTTTGTTTGACTTTCCAGATCAGAGCAAGTAAAGCACGTTGTCAATGAAAGCGTCGAGGAGCAGCCAACTTGCAAGCGAGTTAAACCTAATAAAGGTAAAGTTTCTTTCAAAACGTACATGTAAGAATGCAGGCTTTGGTTTCTATCTTACAATTTTTTTCTGTTGTTGTTGTTGTCGAAGATGCTGATGAACGACAGAAGCATACGACGAGGATAGTCGATAAAACACCAGCGCTAGCGGCGCCGGCCTCTAGTATTAAAAATTATTTAAGTTACTTTCATAGTTT